GAATATAGAGCCCAGTTGCAGATCCCCATAGATGATATGACCCCAGTCTACTGATCACTGATAAAGTCAAAATAATCTCTAACGCAAAAGATGCTGGAACAACTGGACAACCACATCCATTAAAGAAACAATGAAGATAGACACACCTTATACCCTTAACAAAAATGAACTAAAAATGGATCAGAGATATAAATGTAAAATGCCAGAACTATGAGACTCCTGGTGATAACATAGGAGAAAACCTAGATGACCTTGGGTGTGCCTATACTTTGTAGATACAACACCAAAATCAGGATCCATGAAGAAAGTAATTGATAAGCTAGATTTTATTAAAATTAGAAACTTGTGTTTTGTGAAAGATAATTTCAAGATAATCAGAAGAGAAGCTACAGACTTGGAACAAATATTTGCAAAATAGATACCTTACAAAGGACTGTTATCCAAAACATACAAAGAACTCATGACTCTCAACATTAAGAAAACAAACAACCCAACAACCCAAAACATACAAAAAAACACTTAAAACTTAACATTAAGAAAACAAACTACACTTCACCGAAATAGATATATGGCCTGTAAATTAGTATATGAAGAAATACTCCATATCATGTCATCAAAAAAATACAAATTAAAACAATAATGAGATACTCTTATACACCTATAAGAGTGGCCAAAATCTGGAACACTGACAGCACCAAATGGTACTGCTACTTTGGAAAACCATTTGGTGGTTTCTCATAAAATTAAATATACTTTTACAGTCGGATCCAGCAACGGTGCCCTAGATATTTATCCAAATGAACTGAAAACTTATATTTACATAAAAACCTGCACATGGATGTCTACAGCAGCTTTATTCATAATTGCCTAAACTTGGAAGCAACCAAAATGCCCTTCAGTGGGTGAATGGATAACTAAACTGTGGAACATGCAGACAACAGAATATTAATCAGTGCTAAAAAGAAATGAAAGTTGCTGAGTTGTGTCTGACTCTTTGGAACCCTATGGACTATACAGTCCATGGAATTCTCCAGGCCAGAATACTGGAGTGGGTAGCCTTTCCTTTCTCCAGGGGATCTTCCCAACCCAGGAATCGAACCAAGGTCTCCACATCACAGGCGGATTCTTTACCAGCTGAGACACAAGAGAAGCCCTCAAAAAAGAAATGAGCTATGAAGCCATGAAACGGTGTGAAGGAACCTGAAATGCATGTTATTAAGTGAAAGAAGGCAATTAGAAAGGGCTACATACTGTGTGACTCCAATGCTGAAGGCACAACTATGGAGACAGTAGAAGGATGAGTGGTTGCTGGGGTGAGGCTAGGAGGGATGAATAGGGAGTGCACAGAGGATTCTTAGGGCAGTGAAAGTGCTCTTGACACGGTAAGGACTGATACATGTCACATACATTTGTCTAAATCCATAGAATGTACATATCAGGAGTAAACCCTAATGTAAACAATGGTCTCTGGGTGTCATGACATGTCAATGTAGGCTCATCACTTGTAACAAATGTACTATATACACTGAGGGGGGATGGTGATAATGGGGGATGCTATACTTATGAGGGAGGGTATGCGTGGGTCCTTAGTCACTAACTCATGTCTGACGCTTTGCGACCTCGTGGACTGTAGCCCACCAGGCTCCTCTGTCCGTGGGATTTTCCAGGCTTAAGAATACTGGAGTAGTGGATTGCCGTTTCCACCTCCAGGGAATCTTCCTGACCCAGGGATTGAACCTGTGTCTTTTGCATCTTCTGCACTGGCAGGTGGATTCTTTACCATTAGCCACCTGAGAAGCCCATGGAGGGTAGGGCAACAAGTGAAATTTTCAGAAATTTCTGTACCTTCCTCTGAATTTTGCTGTGAACCTAAAACTGCTGAAAAAATAAAAGTCCCTTTTAACCTTATGGTCAAAGGGCTCATGCAGTCAATTCAAAAGAAGATACACTAATTCTCAATCTTTAGGTGAAAAGACATTCTGCATCATTAGTTTTTAGGGAAATACAAATGAGGCACACCATTTAACCCACTGGTATGACTGAATTGTTAAAGATTCACAATAGGAATAGTATTGACAAGATTTTGGAGCAAATGGAAATCTTATACTTTGCTTATAGTAATTTAAGGTGGTAAAATCACCTTGGAAAATGGATTGTAATTTCTCATTGTTAAAGATACACCTACTCTGTACTTCAGCAATTTCTCCCCTGCATATTTATCCAAGTTAAATGAAAACATGGGCTTCCCAGATGGTTCAGGGGTAAAGTATCCACCTGCCAAGGCATGAGACATAGGTTTGACCCCTGGGTCAGGGAGATCCCCTGGAAAAGGAAATGGCAACCCACTCCAGTATTCTTGCCTGGGAAACCGCATGGACAGAGGAAGCTGGTGGGTTACAGTCCATGGGGTCACAAAGCAGCTGGATACAACTTAGTAATTAAAAAACAACCACAGAAATGAAAACATATGTCAATTTAAAGACTTCTACAGTAATGTTCATAACAGCTTTATTAATAATAGTGGAAAACATGAAACTATCCAATATCCATCATTAGATGACTAAAAACAACCAAATTGTGGTGTATTCATTGAATGACATCCTTCTTTGCAATAAAAATGAATTCCTGATACATGCAACAACATTTGGGAACAGCACACACTTCATTTTGAACAAAAGCAGATGATTAAAAGAGTACATTATTCCATCAACAGAGTTCTAGAATAATCTAAAATGAATCTATGGTGACAGATATGTTAATAGAAATTAGATCAATCATTGGGTGAATGGGAAGATTTACTGCCAAGTATCCCAAGGGCAATTTTCTGGCAGGAAGAAACTGTTTTATATTTTGATTAGAGATGGTTACAGGATATTACAGAGTTGCTAAAATTCCTCAATCATACACCTAAAATGTGTATTTATTGTGTATAATTGTATATAAAGTTGACAGATAATCATGAATATGAGGCAAAATTGAAGGTAAATAATGATGAAATCAATAGAAATTATCATGACAGTTTAGTAATTCATTAAGAACAGATCAATTTCAAACAGAAATAATGAGTAACATGTTGTTACTGGATTGCTGTTAATCCAAATGATGAGTTATGAGTCAAATGATCAAACTGGAAAAAATACTGAAATTTTGACATAAAATACTGACATACAAAATTCACAATACATAACTAAAAATGAGAAAATCTGTAACAACCTAGTAGTAGTAATGTGTTATCTGTTCCAAGTATTTAGTGTCAATCATTACAGCAGAAACTTTTATGTGCTCTGAATTTTTATAGATTGTATATCAAAAAAGGCTTGATAGAAAATTTTTTAAACTTGATAATCCTAAAAATTTGCACATTATCAAATGAAATATTAACTTGAAACTTTTATAAACTCAGTAACATTTTATCAACCTTACTAGAAAAAAGACCAAATTATTTTGTGTTCTCTGTGTAATAAATAATCCTCATTAACCTCATGAACCTCATTCCTGAGGTTAAAGGGTATGAAGTCCAAATACACAATTTTAGTAAATTGTTTGCAGCTTACATGTTTGTTTCTCAAAAATTTTAATATCTGTGGGTTTTGTCCATTTAAAAATTTGTAGTTTGTGGCATTCATTTCACATAAATATTAAAGACACACCCTTCACGTTGTGTAGACTTTGGGCTCTACCACTCCTGAACATACCTTGGATCAATGGGTCTCTGAGTGTAAAAAGCAAATTTGAGGGAGACTGCTTTCAGTCTAATTTTATAAAGTCTAAAAACATTCAAAACTTAATATAGTTACAGATTAAAGACAACTGATAAAACGATAAGGAAATGCCCACAGTGGGCTCAGAAGCAGGATGACTTTATGACTTTAGAGGGGGCGGTAGGCACTTTTTGCCTTCATGGGCACTTTTCTCCTTAAAAATACCAAAAATCGCATTTTAGGACTGTGTTGGTATAAAGACAGATGGTAACTATTAATACGTTTTCCTCAACCTAAAATTTCACTTGTTTTCTGATTCTACAAGAAGTTAAAACACTTTCTCGTGTGTCCCTAGCCCAAGCTTACAATGTGTAATGGAGAATTCCCTCCCCTCAGTGTTCATTGTAATACTCCGTTTCTTACACCATGGTGAGCAGTTTTAGCATTTTATACAACCATCCTTTCATGTCTAGTTTAATAGAAACGTATGTAATGCATCGTGCAAGGATAAAAATGAAAATGGTTATCTCAGGTACATAGAAATTCAGGTGATTTTTTACTATCTTGTCTCTCTCTCTTTCAAAAATCAGTTGTTTTTTTTTCAGTAGCCAGCAGGATCCCTATTTTTCAGAAGTACTAATATTATTTTTTAAAGGATATACACACACAACTTATAGCACAATATATAATTCGTGACTTTCCTATTTAACTACTAGATTTTACTTTGGCCAACACCGTCCAAGAGACAGCAGAAAACTGAGAAAGGAAGAATTAACGGTCAATACCTTGCGCAGCGACGGTTAAAATTTACATAACGGGCACCGGGCTTTCGATAAGCCACACCCCTTCTGGAATGTTCACCAGGACCCTATCTCCGCTTCACCCACTGCCCCTTCTCATTCTGCGGGTTGAGTTCTCCTGGGTAAGGTCATTGCTGGCCCGCTTCTCCGGACTGGGCCCGCCTCGGCCTCTGCTTTGCTTCTCTGGACTGGGCCTGTCTTGGCCTCTGCTTTCCTTTAGAGCCTTGATCAGAACTAGTAATTATTTTTTTGTGTCACCTTCTTAGCTAGTGGTGGCGCCTCCTCATCGTCAAAGTCAGTAGTAGCGACAAGAAAGAAAAGGGTAGGCTTTCCAGGTGGTTGTGCTGTTTTCCTCTGTATTATTTCTTCTCTTTGCAGTATCTTTTTTTTTTTTTTTTTTTTACAAAGTATATATCTATTTCCCACGAATTACGTGTTGTTTACACACTATCCTATTTTAGGTCTTAAATCTAAAGAGAAAAAAACATTGCTTCGCAACTCAGGCTCTATTGAAACTCGTGAGGCGTCGGAGAGAGAAGAAACAGAACCGAACGGAAAAGGCAGGAGGGTAGGCGTACAGGGGGCCCAGGGTGGGCCCATCAGGCGCGGCTGCTACCGGCAGAAATCCTTGGCCAGGCCGCGGTCAACGCTAGGCCGCAAACTTGCCTCAAGGGCCCCAGGGGCCTCTGCCCCTCCCTCCCCCTCCCCCTCCCTCCCCCTCCCTCCCCCTCCCTCCCCCTCCCTTCCCCTCCTGCCCCTCCCTCCCCCTCCCTCCCCCTCCCTTCCCCTCCCTCCCCCTCCCTCCCCCTCCTGCCCCTCCCTCCCCCTCCCTCCCCCTCCCTCCCCCTCCCTCCCCCTCCCTCCCCCTCCTGCCCCTCCCTCCCCCTCCCTCCCCCTCCTGCCCCTCCCTCCCCCTCCCTCCCCCTCCTGTCCCTCCCTCCAGCCCCCCCGCCCCTTTCTCCGCAAGACACTCCTGATTGGCCAGACCCTAGCCCGGAAGTGGCGCCACGCCGGGCTTCCAGGCCTCTTGGCTGAGCCCGGGCGCTCCTCTTCCCCACGCCCCGCCCCTCGGGGGGCATGAAAACAAGAGAGAGGCGGCTGGGGTGGGGCCTGCGGACGGCCGACGCCGCGCAGGGGGCGGGGCCTGTGCTCGCGGCGCCCGCTGGTTGGCTGATGGGGTGCGGGCTGAAGCGCTTAGGGGTTGCGCGGCCGCGCTTCCGCCCTCGGCCGACTGTTGAGCCGAGGCATGGAGGCGGGTTAGCCAGCGGCGTGAGGCCGAGCGGGGGGTGAAGAGAACGGCGGGCTCGAGGCTGCAGGCCCGGCGGGCCCGAGTGCGCGCGCGGCTGGTGAGTGCCCGGCCGCGTGGAGTAACCGTCGCGGCGCGTGAGGCACGGGCGGGTGGGGGAGGGGCGGCGCGAGCTTGGCCGCGTCCTTAAGCAGAGTTGAGGCGCGCGAAGCGCGAGCATCCCCGCCGCGTCCGCTGGACCACCCTCCTGTGCCTCTCGCGCCCCGGGGCACCGGGCGTTGGGACCCCCGTCCTCTCCTTTCAAGTCGTCTACACTGCGGTCCCGTGTGAGCGGTTTTGGGTCTGGGCACCGCGTAGTTTCGGTGGGATTGATTGGGGGGGGGTCTCACTGTGGAAAGTTTCTGTCCTTTCGACGCCCCCTCCTTTCTCCTGATGGGGTCCGTGACTTTGGAGAGAGTGCCACTCGCGTGTGGCCACCTGAGTCCTCCTGCCCCACCTGAAGGCGATGTATCGCTGACAGCCAGCCACAAGGGGCTTTGCCGCCTTCCCCACCTCCCAGGAGCGACAATGTACCAAGACCCTGCAGGAACCGTCACGAGTCTCCAAGGATCGGTTTGCCATTTAAAGCTACAGAGATGAGTTACTTACTGACGGTCCTAGGGCTGAACTCACTTACATTTGCTAATTGGGGTTTTTCAACAGTGGCTCACTGTCCCATGTGTGGGGACGAGGTCTCCCGTGAAACTACTCCCCCCTGTGTCAGAATGGCAGTAGACCCACAGGCAAGTTGTTTAATCTCTGAGCCCGAGCTTTTTCATCAAATGGTTACATTCCGCTCTGTAAGTATTGATGTGAAACTCAGATGAGAGTATATAAACCACTTACTCAGTTTTGTTTTGCCTTTTCAGAAATGTTCTTTGCGGAGCCAGAGTCTGGGTATATATGAATGCAGATCCTCACCCATTCCCAAATAAATCCAGGCATCTCAACTGAGAGGATCACTTCTCCGTAGGCCATCACCTCAGGTAATTTGTTTTTTAAAGATTTATGTATTTTTGACTGTGCTGGGTCTTAGTTGCTGTGGGCATTCTCTAGTTGCGGTGTATTGCCTTCTCACTGAGGTGGCTTCTCTGTGGAGCATGGTTCCTAGGGCAGAGTTCAGTAGTTGCCCCAGGGCATGTGGGATTTTCCTGGACCAGGGATGGAACCTACGGCTCCTGCATTGGCAGGTGATTTCTTAATCACTGGACCAAGAGGAACTACCCCAGGTAATTGTTAAATTACCATTTAAGACATTTTTTTTTCAGTCACTTAGTCTGTGCCCAGCACTGAAGTAAAGTATATACAAAACAGATCCTTGCCCCCTAAAAGACTCAAAATTTTTGAGAATGGAGCATGTATGTGGGAAACATCTGATAGTAAACACCTTAGCCTGACAAGGTGAATGTAGTGACAGAAACTATAGAGTCCTGAGAGGACCGAGAAGAAAGCCAAACTGGAAAGGGGGGGTGCTGAGTTAGCCCCCAGGCATGATGATGCTCAGAGATGAATTGCACTTAGGTAGATCTCAAATCTGGCTTTTTATCACTGCTGGAATTGTTTTAGATTGAACCTGAACTTTATCAGTGGTATCTCACCATCTGCTTTTTTCTACCAAGTTCATTTGGTGAGTCATGCATATTCAGGTTTAAGATCCAGGCAAAGGTCTGAAGGGTAGGTGTTAAAGGCAGAAGAGCTCCCATAAATGCAGGTAATGCCAGATACCAGGAGGCATTTTAGGAAGAGCAAGTGAGGGGGAAATGGCAAGAGATGATGCTAAAGCCAGCTCTTGCAGGGACTGGTGTGGTGAGCTCAGAAGTTATTGCCCAGATATAGAGAAGTCATCTGTGCTTTCGAAGTCCAGTTTTTGGTTTGGCCTTTGGCAGCATTTTTGGGAAGAATTGATGGTGGATCAAACAAGAGGCAGATCATTTATGTTTTCTTATGGAATCTAGGCAAATAGTGAAAATGTATTAAGGCAGTGGCAGTCTCACTGACAGTTAAGTGCAGATGTAATCAAGGTGGTAGACACTGTGGAACTTGTAGAGATGGGTCTAAGGGAAGAGAGAATACAATTAACAGGTTACTGGTTTGAAAACTGAAGGCATGGTATACCATGGATATAGAGAATACAGGACAGATCACAGATTTAAGGGAAGGACTTTGTTCTGTTCTGGTCCTGTTTACTCTGACACACCAGTCAGGTGAGTAGAGATTTTTATATAGTTGGATATTGAGTAGAGTCGGCCTTCAATATCTTCAGGTTTCACATATGTGAATACAGAGAGCCAGCTGTGTTCTTTGTGCTACACTGTTTTATTTGGGGAGTTGAGCATCTGCAGATTTTGGTATCCATGGTGGGGTTTTATCTTCTGGAACCAATTGCAAGTACTGAGGGACAGCTGTATATCTTTCTGGAATTCTAGGCTAGGCTATCATTATTGAGTAGCTGAAACATAGGTAAGCATTGCACTGAGTTTACATACATTCTTAGTCTTTGGAAAGCTTCAGTATTAGTAGTAGTTATGGGTTGGATTAAGTCACCTAGAAAGAGGATACTGAATGAAGAGGAGGATAGAGCCCTGAGGACCGACCTTTGGACATTTTGATATTAGGAGGGGGAAAAGGAACCAGATGGTTCTGGAGATTGGGTAGAGGAAGTGAAAGGAGAATTGTATATTAGCTATGGATTAAATGTTAGCACTTTCACGTTTTAGAGTCCAGTAAAGAACCAACTGGATTTGACATTACAGAGATTATTAGGGACTTTTGTGAAAACATTCAGTGAAACGTAAGGTACAACCCAGAGTGCAAAGGAACTAAATTACTTTTTCAAGGGTTAGTTTCTCAGTGGACTCAATGCTTTCACTGCTGCAGCCTGGGTTCAGTCCCTTAGTTTAGTTTTGGGGAACTAAGATCCCACAAGCCACTTGGCCTGGCTGAGGGGGGAAAGAAAACTGAAAGCAATTGCAAAGAAATTTTTGATAATTAAAATTTCCAAGAAGTGAGACTTCTCTGGTGGTCCAGTGGTTAGGACTCTGCCTTCTAATGCAGGGGGCACTGATTTGATACCTGGTGGGGGAGCTAGGTTCCCACATGCTGTGTGGTGAAGCCAATAAATAAATTAAAAAATTCCAAGAAATTTTAGCTAGGAAGGGTAGAAGAAAGTGATTGTTATATGAAGTTTCTGGCCAACTATTATTGAGAAATGGTAGCCCTGGCTAAGTCAGTGGAAAGTAACAGTTACATCTCTGGTGAAGCATCCTCTGTGATCATCAAATCAGCTCTCTCTTTAATGCACAGGAGCAGCTCTGATTTCTGCAGCTTGAGGATTCCCTGGACACTCGCATTTGTGGTTCAGTAATGGTTCCCAGCAGTAAAAACGCTGATGAAATTAACAAAACTGCCTTCCAGAAGAAGTGAGTTGTGCAAAAACTTGCAAGGTTTATAGCTATCTACTAGCAGTTTAACCTTTAAAGAAAAATCACAATATACTTACTATACCCTGTTCACAGTTTTTGGGCTTAACTATCAGGCCAATGATGATTTTGTTTTAAGGACATAACACCCATTTATGACCTTTTGAGAGGAGCTGTGGAAACGGATGTTTCTGTTGTTGATGGGCTCTATAGCACTCTTCTGTGTTCTGAATTCCATTCTTACCTGTGGTATGGCAGTAACTTCCATCTACTTTGAGAAAATTTATAGTTTTGCTTTCTGAAATGTGGGAGTAGGCTAACTCTTTGAGTTGAATAAAAACCAAACTGCATAATTTTTTTTTTCCTTTGGCAGCACATGTGGGATCTTACATGTACCCCCTGCCTTGGAAGTGTGGAGTCTTAATCACTGGACTTCAAGGGAGGTCCCTCCATAATTTTCTTAATAAAAAGTTTCTTTTGCTAATAGGGACAGCGAAGACTGGCATGCTGCATTCTGGGGGGTTGCAAGGTGTCCGACATAACGGAATGACTGAACAGCTGTTAATAGTTATTAAAGTATACAGCATTTTATTTGTATTTCAGTTTAGTCGCTCCATCGGGTCTGACTGTGTGTGTGTGTGTGTGTGTGTGTGTGTCTGTGTCTGTGTCTGTGTCTGTGTCTGAATCTTTGCGACCCCATGAAGCGAAGCACACCAGGCCTGCCTGTCCGTCACAAACTCCCGGAGTCCACCCAAACCCATGTCCGTCAAGTCGGTGATGCCATCCAACCATCTCATCCTCTGTCATCCCCTTCTCCTGCCCTCAGTCTTTCCCAGCATCAGGGTCTTTTCCAGTGAGTCAGCTCTCTGCATCAGGTGGCCAAAGGATTGGAGTTTCAGCTTCAGCATCAGTCCTTCAATGAACACCCAGGGCTGATCTCCTTTAGGATGGACTGGTTGGATCTCCTCGAAGTCCAAGGGACTCTCAAGAGTCTTCTCCAACACCACAGTTCAAAAGCATCAATTCTTCTGAGCTCAGCTTTCTTTATAGTCCAACTCTCACATCCATACATGATCACTGGAAAAACCATAGCCTTGACAAGACGGACCTTTGTTGGCAAAGTAATGTCCCTGCTTTTTAATATGCTGTCTGGGTTGGTCATAACTTTCCTTCTAGGAAGTAAGCATCTTTTAATTTCATGGCTTCAATCACCATCTGCAGTGATTTTGGAGCCCAGAAAAATAGTCGGCCACTGTTTCCACCGTTTCCCCATCTATTTGCCATGAAGTGATTGGACAGGATGCCATGATCTTAGTTTTCTGAATGTTGAGCTTTAAGCCAACTTTTTCATTCTCCTCTTTCACTTTCATCAATAGGCTGCTGCTTCTTCCCCTTCTGCCATAAGGGTGGTGTCATCTGCATGTCTGAAGTTATTGATATTTTTTCTGGCAATCTTGATTCCAGCTTGTGCTCCCTCCAGCCCAGCGTTTCTCATGATGTACTCTGCATATAAGTTAAATAAGCAGGGTGACAGTATACAGCCTTGACATACTCCTTTTCCTATTTGGAACCAGTCTGTTGTTCCATGTCCAGTTCTAACTGTTGCTTCCTGACCTGCATACAGGTTTCTCAAGAGGCAGATCAGGTGGTCTGGTATGCTCATCTCTTTCAGAATTTTCCACAGTTTATTGTGATCCACACAGTCAAAGGCTTTGGCATAGTCAAGAAAGCAGAAATAGATGTTTTTCTGGAACTTCCTTGCTTTTTCAATGATCCAGCGGATGTTGGCAATTTGATCTCTGGTTCCTCTGCCTTTTCTAAAACCAGCTTGAAAAGCTGGAAATTCACGGTTCACATAATGCTGAAGCCTGGCTTGGCGAATTTTGAGCATTACTTTACTAGCATGTGAGATGACTGCAATTGTGCGGTAGTTTGAGCATTCTTTGGCATTGCCTTTCTTTGGGATTGGGATGAAAACTGAGCTTTTCCAGTCCTGTGGCCATTGCTGAGTTTTCCATATTTGCTGGCATATTGAGTGCAGCACTTTCACAGCATCACCTTTCAGGATTTGAAATAGCTAGAATTCCATCACCTTCACTAGCTTTGTTCGTGGTGAAGCTTCCTAAGGCCTAGTTGACTTCACATTCCAGGATGTCTGGCTCTAGGTGAGTGATCACACCATCGTGATTATCTGCGTTGTGAAGATCTTTGTTGTATGGTTCTTCTGTGTATTCTTGCCACCTCTTCTTAATATCTCTGCTTCTGTTAGGTCCCTACCATTTCTGTCCTTTGTTGAGCCCATCTTTGTATGAAATGTTCCTTTGGTATCTAATTTTCTTGAAGAGATCTCTAGTCTTTCCCGTTCTATAGTTTTCCTCTATTTGTTTGCATTGATCGTTGAGGAAGGCTTCCTTATCTCTCCTTGCTATTCTTTGGATCTCTGCATTCAATTGGGTATATCTTTCCTCTTTCCTCTGTTTTTCGCTTCCCGTCTTTTCACAGCTAAATGTAATGTCTCCTCAGACAGCCATTTTGCTTTTTTGCATTTCTTTTTCTTGGGTATGGTCTTGATTCCTGTCTCCTGTACAGTGTCACGAACCTTCATCCATAGTTCATCAGGCACTCTATCAGATCTAGTCTCTTAAATCTATTTCTCACTTCCACTGTATAGTCCTAAGGGATTTGATTTAGGTCATACCTGAATGGTCTAGTGATTTTCTCCACTTTTCAATTTCAGTCTGAATTTGGCAATAAGGAGTTCATGATCCGAGCCACAGTCAGCTCCCAGTCTTGTTTTTGCTGACTGTATAGAGCTTCTCCATCTTTGGCTGCAAAGAATATGATCAATCTGATTTCGGTGTAGACCATCTGGTGATGTCCATGTGTAGAGTCTTGTGTTGTTGGAAGAGGGTGTTTGCTATGACCAGTGTGTTCTCTTGGCAGAACTCTATTAGCCTTTGCCCTGCTTCATTCTGTACTCCAAGGCCAGATTTGCCTGTTACTCCAGGTGTTAATTGACTTCCTACTTTTGCATTCCAGTCCCCTATAATGAAAATGACATCTTTTTTGTATTTCTGTACGTTCATTTTTTCAAAGCTTCAGTTGAGTGCAGTCCATTACCTGCTCAAATCAAGCTTGAAGCAATTGATGTTTGAGGAATCTCCCCTAAGTTTTGTTTTCTGTTTCCACAGTGTAGAAAATGAAACTTAATAAATTAGATTACATCAACAGAAAAAACCCAGCTTGTGCAGACTTCCTGGTGTTATAGTACTGTTTTTTCAGGTATAAGAAGTTTTTTGAAATTTATATTCTGCAGAGACATAGTGACATAGTGTCCATCGTATTACTCAGTATTCCCTTGTTTGCAGCACCCTTAAAAAATGTTATTGAGTTAGAAGTGTCAAGAAAGGGCAAGACTCTTAAGTCTATGTTTTTGGTTTTTCAGATGAGGACTGTGTAACTCATGTTATCTTTTTGCTCTGCTTTTCAGGAAGCTCCTAATTTAGGACTTAGTGCAGTTTTTTCTAAATAAGCTTTGATTTTTCTCTCTAATTCTCCTTTTAAAATGTCCTTTTCTATATGTACTTTAATGTTGAAAGCTGCCTTAAATTCTTTTCAGAAGCATGAAAAAAATATGCAGTTAATTTAAAAATTCAGTTCACAAGGCATGCATGTTTTTGATGATACAGAAGTTATAAGATTTGTTGTGATGTGATCAACCTCCCATTAGCAGAGTTTATTCATTCTGAATTTTAGGGTGATATGCATTTAAAAATTTCACACATTCAAGTTCAAATTTCTGTCCCCAAATATGCAGTGCCTTGGATCATATTAACCTTTTGTTGTCCATTCTCCCTCTCTGAAAGGAAACTTTTTAGGCATTTCTTTCCTATGAATTTCCCATAGATTTTAATATCATCACTATGTTACATATTACATACATACATATTACACTCTTTATGTATATCTGTGCTGTATACATAAAAAGTGGGACTTTTTTTGTGTCCCACTAGTTTTCATCTCCTTGAGGATGTTGTCCCTCCTGATAATGAATGGGTTAAGTTCATCCAGTGAGGAAATGAATTTCATTGGGTTTACAGATGGGTTTGTAACTTTTCCCCCATTAGGCTGATACTTTACATTCATTAGATAGTCAAGATCAAGGTTTCAGGATCAAGTTTGTTGGATAATTTCCTGTCCCAGTTCCTGATAAAGCATAAAACATTTTCATAGTATAAAACACTTGGTTTGATTTCCCTTGGGTGTGGTTTTCTTTTTTGTCGTCAAAGACAGCTCATAGCTGTTGGGATAATGCCTTGTTTGATGTTTTTTTTTGGGAATAGACTGGGGCTGTGGTTTTGGGGCAGCATAAGGCAGAGTTGAAGTTCCTGCCTCATCACACTATGTCAGGGGTTACCAGCATAGCTTAGCACCGGTGATATTAACCTTGATGACTTGGTTAAGGTTTTGTTTGCCAGGTGTCTCCACTGTATGTGTGATTTTCACTTTTCATTGAAAGTGTTTCAAGTCCAGCCTTGACTCAAGATAAGATTAAGCTCCACTTCCTGGAATAGGGAGTATCTATATATATTATTTGCAGTTCTTTTATAAGGAAAATTTGTCTCTTTCTCCACATTTGTTTATTCATTCATTTGTATCAGTATGGATTCATGTATATTTGTACTGGCTTATAATCCAATAGTATGTTATTTTGTTACTCAAAATTCTTTCAGCTTTGGCCACGGGACCTCTTTCAAGTTGGTGGCTTGAAATATGTTCTTTTGACATGCCCCCATCCATCTGTGTTTTGAGCACTTTATTTCTGTTGCTACAAGGTGCCCCAGACTCACTTATATTTTCCTACCCCAGCCTTTTGTTTCAGTGCAAAAAAAGTGCTTTCTGTTTAGCCGTAGTATACTGCTTACTGACAGTGAACTTTCTCTTTGCTTTTATATGCATTTATTGGCATCTTAGCTTGCTTTTATTACATCTCATTAGAATTGGAGATCTCTTTGGATTTGGCTTCCACCCTGTTTGCTAATCCTCTGCTTCATGCCATCTGTAGTTCTGATGAACTTGACTCTGTTTTCCTTCAAACCTTTGACATATTTGGTTCTTGGGATTTCCTGTCGTTTCCAGGTACCATCTTGCTACTTTGTTCTCTTTGAGACTGCTAGGATTTGGGAAATTAATTTTGTCTTCACTCTTTTTACTTGAGTTTGGATGGTGGAGGCTCTGATGATATTATACAATCCAAAACTGGAAACTATCAAAAACTGAAAGTATGAAACTCAGTAGTAATAGGTTTGTAGCTGTTGTATTTGTAGCCATTATAGTTTATACTAAGTTGGTGAGCAGTGAGTTATGGGCAGCACTTTATACATGCATGTGCAAATTCATATATGTACTTTATAACCAATAGAAAAAATTCTTCTCTGTATGAAGTTTTGTTATTGGTGTGGACTAATATTTATGGATTTTTTAGGTTTCCAGGAATTTCTGGAAGATGGCCTCAGGGAATGTGAAAGGTTTCCTGAACTTTTCACTTGACTCCAGTATATGATTTAGAACACTCCAAAGTCTGTACTTTATTTATTTTTGGCTGTGCCTGGGTCTCAGTTGCTGCTTGGGCTTTTCTCTGGTTGTGGTGAGTAGGGGCTATTCTTCATTGCAGTGCTCAAGCTTCTCATCATGATGTCTTCTCTTGTTGCAGTGTACGGGCTGTAGGGCACATGGGCACAGTAGTTGTCACTCCCAGGTTCTAGAGCACAGGCTCAATAGTTGTGGTACACAGGCTTAGTTGCTCCAAGGCATGTGGAATCTTCCTGGACCAGGGATCAAACCTGTGTCTTCTGCATTGGCAGGTGGATTCTTCACCATTGAACCACTAGGGAAGCCCTCCAAAGTCTGTATTTTGAGAACATTGATAATTCTGTTTCTGTGTATTTTCCATTCGTACTGAGTAGTTTTGAGCCTTCTTTATAGCACAGCTGTATGTCACCTTATGATGTTTGTTACTAACTGCTTTCATTGCATTATTTTTCATGTGTCACAGATACAGTTTTTACAAGTAGTCTCAGATTGAGTTTAACCAGGGATTGGTAAGCTGGCCAGCAGAATGTTCTGGATGTAATGGAGGCACATTTTAAGTTGAAGACAGGATCATTAGTAGGAAGTGTACCCATTCTCCACCAGAATAGTCCTGAAGTGTTATGTGATATTTTCCTTTCATCTTTCAATGTTGTCTTTTCTGGGTACAGGTGCAGAATGAGTACATGTTGTTGGTGTACCCCAGGTGGTACTTCCACCACTGACTTCCTGCAACGCTATGCATCCAAGACCCGCTCCAGTGAATTTCAGACAGCTGATGAAGACCTCTGCTACTGCTTGGAGTGTGTGGCTGAGTACCACAAAGCAAGGGACGAATTGCCATTCTTACATGAGGTAACATGTATGCAATGGGTGGTTTTTACTTGAGCTTGATAACTAGGAAGGGGGTACATTTGAACTGTATTGGAAACATTCAAGGAGCTTAACAGTATGATTTAAACTGTGAAGGTTAAAATACTGCTAGTACCTAACTCCGGAGAAGGCAATGGCACCCCACTCCAGTACCCTTGCCTGGAAAATCCCATGGAGGAGGAGCCTGGTAGGCTGCAGTCCATGGGGTCGCAAAGAGTCGGACATGACTGAGAGACTTCACTTTCACTTTTCACTTTTATGCCTTGGGAGAAGGAAAGGGCAACCAACTCCAGTGTTCTTGCCTGGAGAATCCCAAGGATGGGGTCGCACAGAGTTGGACATGACTGAAGTGACTTAGCAGTAGCAGCAGCAGTACCTAACTCATTACCTGTAGAGAGTGGGTGCTGAGTAATTGCTTATTGACTAATGGAATTGAATTGACACCTAAAGCAGAATTTTATAATCCTCCTTTTATAGTCATTTTATGTAAAGCAGTTTTATGAAATGATGTGTGGGGTTTTTTTCAGTTCCATGTTTTTATGTCATTGTGTTTGACGGTGTTACAGGCAGGTGTTTGAATGGCCAATAGTTTTTTTTTTTCCTCTTTTCATTTTTAAAAAAAATGTTTAAATTTCTTTTAATTGAAGGCTAATTACTTTACACTATTGTGGCTTTTGCCATACATCGACATGAGTCAGCCATGGGTGTACATGTGTCCCCCCATCCTGAACCCGCCTGCCATCTTCCTTGCCACGCCATCCTTCTGGGTTGTCCCAGAGCACTGGCTTTGAGTGCCCGTTACACTGGTCATCTGTTTTACATATGGTAATATACATGTTTCAATGCTATTTTCTCAAATCATCCCACCCTTGCCTTCTTCCAAAATTCTGTTCTTTACATCTGTGTCCAAAAGTCTGTTCTTTACATCTGTGTCTCTTTTGCTATCTTGCATATAGGGTCATTGTTACTGTCTTATATATGCGTTAATATACTGTATAGGTGTCTCTCTTTTTGACTTAACTTCACTCTGTATAATAGGCTCCGGTTACATCCACCTCATTAGAACTGACTCAAGCGCGTTCTTTTTTATAGCTGAGTAATATCCCATTGTGTATATGTACCAAAACTTCCTTATCCATTTGTCTGCGGTAGACATCTGGGTTCCATGTCCAAGCTGTTGTCACTGCAATGCTGCAGTGAATGTTGGGATACATGTTCTCTTTTAATTCTGGTTTCCTCAGTGTGTATCCCCAGCAGTGGGATTGCTGGGTCATATGGCAATTTTAATTCCATGTTTTTTTAAGGAATTGCCACACTGTTCTCCATAGTGACTGTGCCAATTTGCATTCCCACCAACAGTGTAAGAGGGTTCCCTTTTCTCCACACACTCTCCAACATTTATTGTTCATAGACTTTTTGATGGCAGCCATTCTGACTGGCTTGAGATGGTACCTCATTGTGGTTTTGATTTGAATTTCTCTGATAATGAGTCATTTTGAGCATAAATTTCATGTGTCTGTTAGCCATCTCTATATCTTCTTTGGAGAAATGTCTTTTTAGTTTTTTGGCCCACTTTTTGATTGGGTCATTTAGTTTTCTGGTATTGAGCTGCATGAGCTGCTTATATATTTTGGAGATTAATTCTTTGTCAGTTGTTTTGTTAGCTGTTATTTTCTCCTGAACACTGCCTTTTCACCTTGCTTATAGTTTACTTCATTGTGCAAAGCTTTTAGGTTTAATTAGGTCCCATTTTTTAATTTTTGTTTTTATTTCCATTACTCTGGGAGGTGGGGTCATAGAGGATCTTGCTGTGATTTATGTCAGACAGTGTTCTACCTGTGTTTTCCTCTGAGAGTTTTATAGGTTTTGGTCTTGTATTTATATCTTTAATCCATTTTGAGTTTATTTTTGTGTATGGTGTTAGAAAATGTACTAGTTTCAATCTTTTACAAATAGTTGACCAGTTTTCCCAGTACTACTTGTTAAAGAGATTCTTTTCTCCATTGTATATTTTTGCCTCCTTTGTTGAAGATAAGGTGTCCATAGGTGTGTGGGTTTATCTCTGGGTTTTCTATTTTGTTCCATTGATCTCTATTTCTGTTTGTGTCCGTACCATACTGTCTTGATGACTAGCTTTGTAGTATAGTCTGAAGTCAGGCGGGTTGATTCCTCCAGTTCATTTTTCTTTCTCAAGATTGCTTTGGCTTTTCAAGGTTTTTTGTGTTTCCATACAAATTTTGAAATTATTTGTTCTAGTTCTTTGAAAAATACCGTTGGTAGCTTGATAGGGATTACATTGACTCTATAGATTGTTTTGGATAGTATACTCATTTCCATTATATTGATTCTTCCAGTTCATGAACATGGTACATTTCTCCATCTATTTGTGTCATCTTTGATTTCTTTCATCAATGTTTTATAGTTTTCTATATGTAAGTCTTCTGTTTCTTTAGGTAAATTTATTCCTAAGTATTTTATTCTTTTTGTTGCAATGGTGAATGGGATTGTTTCCTTAATTTCTCTTTTTGTTTTCTGATTGTTAGTGTATAGGAATGCAAGGGATTCATGTGTATTAATTTTATATCCTGCACCTTTACTATATTCATTGATTAGCTCTAGTAATTTTCTGGTTGTGTCTTTAGGGTTTTCTATGTAGAGGATCATGTCATCTGCAAACAGAGTTTTACTTCTTCTCCAATCTGGATTCCCTTTATTTCTTTTTCTTCTCTGATTGGTGTGGCTAGGACTTCTGACACTATGTTGAATAGTAGTGGTGAGAGTGGGCGTTCTTGTCTTGTTCCTGATTTTAGAGGAAATGCTTTCAGTTTTCCACCATTGAGGAAAATGTTTGCTGTGGATTTGTCGTATATGGCTTTTATGTTGCGATATGTTCCTTCTATGCCTGCTTTCTGGAGAGTTTTTATCATTAATGGGTGTTTAATTTTGTCAAAGGCTTTCTCTGCATCTATTGAGATGATCATATGGTTTTTATCTTTCAGTTTGTTAATATATGGTGTATCACATTGATTGATTTGCAACTATTGAAGAATCCTTGCATCCCTGGGATAAAGCCCACTTGGTCATGATGTATGATCTTTTTAATATGTTGTTGGATTCTGTTTGCTAGAATTTTGTTGAGGACATTTGCATCTATGTTCATCAGTGATAGTGGGCTGTAGTATTCTTTTTTTGTGGCATCTTTGTCTGATTTTGATATTTGGGTGATGGGATAGAATGAATTTGGGAGTTTACCTTCCTCTGCAATTTTCTGGAAGAGTTTGAGTGGGATGGGTGTTAGTACTTCTCTAAATTTTTGCTAAAATTTACCTGTGAAGCCAGGTTCTGCGCTTTGGTTTGGAAGATTTTTTATTAGTTTTGATTTCTGTGCCTGTGATGGGTCTGTTAAACTTTTCTGTTTCTTCCTGGTTCAGTTTTGGAAGGTTACACTTCTCTAATAATTTGTCCATTTTTTCCAAGTTGTCCATTTTACTGGTGTATAATTGCTCATAGTAGTCTCTTGTGATCTTTTGTATTTGTGTTGTCTGTTGTGATTTCTCTGTTTTCATTTCTAACTTTATTGATTTGATTCTTTTTTTTCTTGATGAGTCTGGCTAAAGGTTTGTCTATTTTATTTATCTTCTCAAAAAACAAGCTTTTACTTTTGTTGATTTTGCTATAGTCTCCTTTGTTTCTTTTTCACTTATTTCTGCTCTAATTTTCATGATTTCTTCCTTCTACTAACTTCAGAATTCTTTTCACTTTTTTTAGTTGCTTTAGGTGTAAAGTTAGGTTGTTTATTTGATGTTTCTCTTGTTTATTTGATGTTTCTCTTGTTTCTTGAGGTAGGCTTGTATTGCTATGAGCCTCCCTCTTAGCACTGCTATTACTGAACCCCATAGATTTTGGAAAATTATTGCAAATTTTAGATTTAAATTGAAGAAAGTAGGGAAAACTACTGGACCATTCATTTATGACCTAAATCAAATCCCTTATGACTGTACAGTGGAAGTGACAAATAGATTCAAGGGATTAGATCTGATAGAGTGCCTGAAGAAATATGGATGGAGGTTCATAACATTGTACAGGAGGCAGTGATCAAGACCATCTCCAAGAAAAAGAAATGCAAAAAGGCAAAACGGTTGTCTGAGAAAGCCTTACAAATAGTTGGGAAAAGAACAGAAACTAAAGGCAAAGGAGAAAGGAAAGATATACCCATTTGAATGCAGAGTTCAAAGAAGAACAAGAGAGCCTTCCTCAGTGATCAGTGTAAAGAAATAGAGGAAAACAATAGAATGGGAAAGACTAGAGATCTCTTCAAGAAAATTAGAGGTACCAAGGGAATATTTCATGCAAAGATGGGCACAATAAAGGACAGAAATGGTATGGACCTAACAGAAGCAGAACATATTAAGAAGAGGTGGCAACAATACACAGAAGAACTGTACAAAAAAGATTTTCATGACCCAGATAACCACGGTGGTGTGATCACTCGCCTAGACCCAGACATCCTGGAATGCGAAGTCAAGTGGGCCTTAGGAAGCCTCACTACAAACAAAGCTAGTGGAGGTTATGGAATTCCAGTTGAACTCTTTCAATTCCTAAAAGATGATGCTGTGAAAGTGCTGCACTCAATATGCCAGCAAATTTGGAAAACTCAGCAGTGGCCACAGAACTGGCAAAGGTCAGTTTTCATTCCAACCCCAAAGAAAGGCAATGCCAAAAAATGTTCAAACTACCGCACAGTTGCACTCATTTCACATGCTAACAAAGCAGTGCTCAAAATTCTCCAAGCCAGGCTTCAACAGTACTACATGAACTGTGAACTTCCAGCTGTTCAAGCTGGTTTTAGAAAAGGCAGAGGAACCAGAGATCAAATTGCCAACATCTGTTGGATCATCAAAAAAGCAAGAGAGTTCCAGAAAAAACATCTTTATTGGCTATGCCAAAGCCTTTGACTGTGGATCACAACAAACTGGAAAATC